GTCAGCTGTGCTACTGCTCTTCTTCACACTGGGACTAAGACCCAGGACTTCGACCTAGATCGAAGTTTAGGCAATGCAACAGAGTCTTGCCTCTGGTGCCAGCAAACGGAGCCCTATATATCTCCTTCTGACCCACTGCCCAACGCTCTTACCATTTGTAGGCTGAGAAGTCTGGAAACTGCCACTGCTACCAGTGAATGAATTGCCCCAAGGTCTTCTCCTGGTTACTGGGGTCCAGTCTCCTAAGTTGTCTTGGGCTGGAAAACTGCTTCACTCCATTTTTTTGATGGGTTCTGCTGCTCTAGAATTTGTTTAGAATCACTATTTAAAGGCATTTAGAGGAGTCTGGGGGGAGACCTCAGGAGAGTTCCTGCCTTTACTCCACCATCTTGGCTCAGCCTCTCTACAAGAAAGATCTTAACATCACTGATAACCACAATGGCATATAGTTACTGATCTAGAGCCAGACATCTTAGAGAACGAAGTCAAGTGGGCCTTAGGAAGCACTGCTAATAATAAGGCCAGTAGAGATGACAGAATGCCAGCTGAACTATTTAAATCCAAAAGATGATGCTGTTAAAGTGCTGTACTCAACATGCCAGCACATTTGGAAAACTCAACAGTGGCCATTGGATAGGAAAAGATCAGTTTACATCCTACTCCTAAAGAAGGGCAATGCCAAAGAATATTCAAATCACTGAACAATGCCAAAGAATGCTCAAATCAATGAACAATTGTGCTCATTTCACCAGCAAGGTTACATTTAAAATTCTGATAGCTAGCCTTCATAGCAATATGTGAACTGAGAATTACCAGAATAGCAGGTTGATTTTCAAAGAGGCAGAGGACAAACGGTCAGCATTCCCTGGATTATGGAGAAAGCAAGGGAGTTCCAGAAAAACATCTACTTCCACTTCATTGACTACACCAAAGTCTTTGACTGTGTGGATCACAACAAAACATGTCAAATTCTCAAAAAGATGGGACTTACTTGTCTCCTGAGAAACCTGTATGAGGGTCAAGAAGCAACAGTTAGAACTGAACATGGAACAATTGATTGGTTTAAAATTGGAAAAGGAGTGTGACAAGGCTAGATACTGTCACCTTATTTATGTAACTTATATGCAGAGTACATCATGTGAAATCATGACAAATCAAAAGGTGGAATTAAGGTTGCCGGGAGAAATATGATCAACCTCAGATATACAGATGATACCACTCGGATGGTAGAAAGTAAAAAAGAATTAAGAAGCCTCTTGATGAGGGTGAAAGAGGAAAGTATAAAAGCTGGCTTGAAGCTTAACATCAAAAAAAACCAAGATCTTGTCAACCGGTCCTATTCCTTCCTGGCAAATAGAGGGAGAAGAAATGGAACCGGTGTCAGATTTTATACTCTTAGGCTCAAAGATCACTGCAAATGGCAACTGCAGCCATGAAATTGAAAGACACTTGCTTCTTGGGAGGAAGGCAAATTTGGCCAGTAATTCTAAAAATTCAAGACATCACCTTGTTGACAAACCATGTGGTCAAAACTATGGTTTTTCCAGTAGCAATATATGACTGTGAGAATTCGATTATGGGAAAAGCTGAGAGTTGCAGAATTGATGCTTTTGAATTGTGTCAGAAAAGACTTTTGAGAGTCCCTTGGGCAGTGAGAAGGTCAAATCAGTCAATACTTAAAGAAATTAATTCAGACTATTCACTGGAAGGTCAAATACTAAAGCTGAAGCTTAAGTCCTTTGACCACACAATGAGAAGATAGAACTCATCGGAAAAGACTGTTGGGAAGGACTGAAGGCTAAGGAGAAAGGGATGGCAGAGGATGACTTGGATAGACAGCATCATGGAGGCAGGGTACATGAACATGGACGGACTCGGAGAGATAATGAAGGACAGAAGGGCCTGGTGTGCTCTGGTCCATGAAGTCAAGAAGAGTCAAATATGACACAATGATTGAACAACAACAAGAAGAAAAAGGATGAAACTAGGATAGCCTTTGACACTGACATAACCTCTACTCTAAGATTCTCTGCTCTCTAGGTTCTCAGAACATCCCTTTCTCTCCAGGTTCTCCCCCAACTTCTCTAACCACACTTTTTCATTCTCCTTTGCTGGACCCTCATCCAGATCACGTCCTCTAACCACAGGTGTCCCACAGGGCTCTATCCTGTGCCCTCTCTCCTCTCCTTCTATACGACTTTGCTCGGAGAACTCATCAGCTCCCATGGATTCAATTATCATTCTCTATGATGATGATTCTCAAATCTGCCTATCCTGTCCCAACCTTTTTGCTGACCTCCAGTCTCACATCTCCAACTGCCTTTCAAACAACTTGACCCAGATGTCTGGCAGACATCTTCAACTCAACATGTCCAAAACTGACCTCCTCTTCACTCCCAAATTCTCCCTTCTTTCTAACTTTCCTAATTGTCGAAGGCACCACCATCCTTCCAGTACCTTGGGCTCACAACCTAGGAGTCATCCTAGACTCCTCACTATCTCTCACCATCGAATATGCCCTCTTCTTTCCTCTGGTCACACTGTGGTTCAAGTATCACATACTCTAGGATCTAGTGACCCTGGCCTCCTGGCTGTCCCTCCACCAGGGTACTCCATCTCCTGCGTCTGGGCATTTCCTCTGGCTGGCTGTCCTCCACACCTGAACACTCTCCTTCGTCATTCCCCTGTCCTGGTTTCCTTTAAGTCCCAGCTAAACTCTCCCCTCTACAGGACGCCTTTCCTGATGCCCTTAATTCTAATGCTCTCCTGCTGATTACCTGCACTTATCCTAGCTATGGCTTGACTATACGCTGCTGGTTGCTTGTTGTCCCCCCATCACAAGGTGAACTCTGGCAGAGCAGGGATGGCCTTTTATTGTTCTTTGCGTGCCTCAAACTTAGCCCAGGGCCTGCTACGCAGGTGGTGCTTAATAAATATTTACTACGATTCTTCCTACACCTCATCTCAAAGAGGCAGAGAGACAGAAACAGATTAGAAGAGCAAAAGAGACCAGCAGGAGGCCAGTGACAGATAGGATCTGGGCCTTGATACGGTGACGGGTTTCCTTGATGAGGGCAGGGAACCAGTGCAGGCCAGGCTTCTTTCTTCCCCATCTCTCCTTTGTAGCCATCCCAGATTATGGCGTACAGTACTCATCTATGCTCACGTCTTCCACCACAGTCACACCCTGGCTCTTTGCATGTGGGGAATGGCTAACGACATGTTGGCCCATGACTCCACTGAAATGCTGACAGTGAGCTGTTGTGAGTAGCTCACAAAGACTTCTAGGAACAATGAAAGGAGAAGCCAGCAACAGACACAGTGACCCCAGCAATGGCAACTGAGGAACAAAAACAACAAAGAACCCTAAATGTGAACGTGTGGGCCCCGAGAATACACGTGAGGAGCCGGCTCCCCCCCACTTCTCTGCAGAGGTGAAAGGCCGCGGGCGCGGAACACGACACACGACGCCAGGCTTTCCTGTGATGGTGGCTCCGCTCTACGTTCCTCCCTCTATTTAAACCCCTTTAATGATCAGGGATGGCCCTCGGACACAAGTAGGAATGCATGCAGTGAAAGAACACTAAGGGGATCAAGAACATTTTATTTTACAGAAAACTGAACGTCTTGGAGGTGGGCATCAGTCACTTTTCCCCTCTGAAATCCTGCAGTCTTGCCAAAGAACATCTGTTTTGGTGCACTAAAAGAAGCCCTCTCCTTGGAAAAAAAAGACAAAGTGCTGCCCACCCCCCCGCCCCTCCCCCGCCCCCCCAAAGAGATGAATGCAAAAAATGCTTAAATTGTTTGGCTAATCCCCCTCAATTAGGAGTCGTGCTGACTCCCTCCTCGTCTTGCTTTGACATCTGTGTTCATATTCAAGCTTCAAAAAGCACCGTGGAACCTGACAACACTTTTGGGAAGGCATGAGGCTTCCAATTATGGTTTCAAAAGCCTTCCTGAGAAAGAACAAATGATATTACCACCTAAAAGAAGAAAATCATTCTCTAATTGTGACAGAACAAATATGTTCTCATTTTATCTACGCATCAATAAGGCCAATACTGTTTTTAATTTAGTCACTTTTAATGGGGACCCTGGATTAGGATCACTTAAAAAACCAGACAACAAATTAATTAAATCTGGCCTCTCCTTGGCAAGTAACATAGATGCGGTTCAGATGTGGTTTTTAAAGCCCCATCTGCTGTCTCAGAATGTTATTTTAAACAAGTAGCTTAAATACATGGCACATTAGAATTTTATCATTGCAAACCCACACTGGAAAAGACTTCCATCGACTTAAAAACAAAAAAGACATTCTTCTAAGTGGAAGAATCCATCACCTCCACCACTAACTGTCAGCCGCCCCTCTGCAGAGAGGCCCTGATAATTGTTAGTTACACCCTGCACCAGTGATCTATGTCCTCCGATGTTGAGGACGTCGCTACCAGTTTTTTAGAAAACTGTACATACATTGATTTTACATTTATTTAATGTGGCCGTTGTAAGACACTTTATTCTTCTGATAAACTATGATTGCTTATCAAAAGATTCTATAATTCAAGAGAAACATTCATAACTTGTGGGAGAAAATGAAAACCACCAGCCCACAGAAATCATGCCACAAAATCCAATTTCGTGGATTTATGGCAGAAAGGCATTGAACTACTACTGTTTTGCCGGAACAGCAGACTAGTCATGGAAGTCTGGCTGGCACAGAGGTAATGACTAAAGAGACCTGCCCCTTGCCAGAGCTGTTCAGCAGCTGAATACCAGTTGCATTACTGACATCTGTGTACTGTAATTACTTTTCCTAAGGCACATTTGTACAAAATAGATTTGACTTTACATATGAGCAATACGAGGAAAGTCCAGTGCTCAAGCACAGGCCAGGTCCGCTCTCCATACAGGTGTCTCCACCTCCTCCAGGCTTTCCCTGTCCCCAACGTGCACTGGCTGCCGGAGACAGCTCCACTCTCCAAAGGCCTCTGATGCCTGCGTACCTTGCCATCCTCTGAGCACACGCCCATGTGTTCTCCACTTTCATCCAGGCTAATCTGATTTATCTTCACAGGGCTCTATAAAAAGAAAACATCAACTTTAGGAAAAGGTGCATCCACGATCAATTACCCTGCCTCTTTGCAAGATTTAGGAAATAAAAACTGTCTCGTGGCTTGCCAGCACGAGTTCAGAAAGTATAAAAAAAAAAAGGCCCTTCTACATCAAAAGTAAAATACAGCTTTGTTAGCTAGCATGTTCCAAACCCAGAATCCAGACATTTCCACTAGTTTTCTATTTAAAAGGGATAATCCGTGCCTTTCCATTTTGAAATTGATCCCCCTACACACAACACTGCTCTCACAAACAAAAATCTTCATTTTTAAAGACTCTTATGAAAAACAAAGTGGAAAAGTCTTGGGTTCCAGTTGCTTCCTGATCATTCAAACAGCTTTTCTCTCAAGTCTTGATTCTAACTTTTTTATTTATAGCTTACATTAAGGCAGTCATCAAAAGCATTTAAAGTAGAAATAGATTTCTTCCTATAAAAAACCCAATACTGTCTTTAGAAAGTACTTAAGGTTCAGGGTCTAAATGCTTTTACTACCTTTGTTTTCTCCCCATTTAGAATACTCCTGAAACTGTAAATCACTGAGGACATGAAACTCGGCTTCTTCCAGCTGTCCTCCCCCCAAGCTGTGCACAAAGGGAGATGAGAAGGCATTCAGGGAAGACAGTTCTACTGCCTGCCTCCCCGAGCCTCAGCCAGCCATCCTCAAGTAGGTACACAAGTGGCTTCTCCAGCAGAAAAGGAAATAATGGATGTGGATACCAATGAGACTTGCTACCTTCTCCTTGCCCAGATGGACTACTGCAGTTTTTCTTTTAAACTTCCTAAAGCATTTAGTGTGTCCTACTTTAAGAAAACATCTGAAAATAGGAAAAATCTGAATATTCAATGGAAAGGGTTTGGTTTTTTGGGGGGAGAGGGAAGACGAGACCAGACCTAGGATTTCATTGGCAGAGGGAACTTCTGATGAAAAAACTTCCTCTTTAGTTAGAGTCTGAGAGGGACGTTACTCAGGCACTCTGGGTCAGTGGGGAACTCGGATCCAGGTCTCTGACTCAGGGCATGCTGTCTCTCAACTAACACATTAGGAACTGATTATTTACACTCACTCTTTTAGCTTTGGTTTGGTTATTTTCTTCTTTTTCTTTTTTTGGCTTTACTCAATAGCAGAATTTCTTGAAATGGCAAATTGTAGCCCATTTAAGTGTTAACTCCTAGGCAATCCCATAGGGTCCCAATTTTTACCACCGATAAGGAATAATAACAAGTAAAATGAAACTTTGAAGATCAATCTCAAAAAGAAATTCTGGCTAGAACTTGAGCCACAAACCTTAACCGGAATGAGAATCAAGTAAAGGAGGCAAAGGCCCGGAGAAATGACCAATGTCCAATTCAGAAACCAACAAAAATCCAGATGATATGGAAGAAAGTGTCTAACTGCTGCTAAAAGGCATCTCTAAGATATCTGATTGTTAAAAAACAAACAAACAAACATTTAAACAGTCAAATGGACCTAAAATAAACCGTGGCACCCCAGAGAATAATTTTTAAAAGAACCTAATTGAGAAAATTAATCCTGCATCAGTAAAGCAGCAGGATACAAAGTAAATCCACAAAATCACTAGCATTTTTGGGTAGCAATAATAAAATCTAGGAGGAAATAACAGAAAGAGAAGTCCTGTTCAAATTACTACAAAATGCAGAATCTCACAGCTGGAAGGCACCCTCCCAAGACCATCAGGGTCAATCCACAGCTGCACAGGAGTGCTGTCTACAACACCCCAACAGGTGGCAACCCAGGCCTTCTCTGGAGACCTCTCACAAGGCTCAAACCCCTCACTACCACCAGAAGCTGCCCATTCTACACCTCTAATCACTGGGGAGTTCTTCCTTACATGCAGTTACAATTGGCCTTTCAGCAACCCCGACCAGGGCTCCTCACTTTGTGCACAGGATGGACTGGGGCTGGGAAGAAGTGCAAGACCAGGACAGGGAGATCAATTATGTATGAGGTCACTGAGATCACCGACATGAGAGGGAAGAGGGATTCACACTAGTTTTGTGGCAAAGGCAATGGAAAGAAGAGGATGGATGGAGTCTCCTCACTGGGTTTGATATTGGGATCCATTTGCTGAAAAAAGTGTGGGGTACATATTTTTATCTGTGCAGTGCCTACCACCTGACCTTAAGTAATCACACAGGCATCCAACCACTGTCCATATAACACAGAGAAATGCCAGAGGGCATTTATATCATCTTTGTTCCTACTTAATAGCACTGCCACTATAATGAGCTTAATCTTTCTGAAAGGCAGCCTTGTGGTCCTTTCACACTACTGGAGCATATGTTTATCTCCCACACAGAAAACTAAACTGGATAATCTCTATAACATAGCACTATTCAATTCTTTGGCTTACTCTTAAGTTACATTCTTTCTAGAATCAATGCAGGTAGGCCCAAAGGAAACGCTGGATTTCTAAATCAGGTAGAAAAGTTTTACAAAATTTTAAAGAATTAGGAAAATGTAAGACATTTTTAAAAAATCACTCCATCCTTCACAGAACTGTTCAGATAAGTCTCCTAAGATGCTGGACTGACTAAGCCACTCACTCTTCCATTCCAAAACCCTCCATGTGTCCCCTTTTGCCCATGGAACAGACTCTTGGACTAGCATTTAAGATCTACCACCATCTGAGCCAACCTAACTTTCCAGCCTCACGTTACTAGCAATTTGCAAAATTAATATAGGAGATTTATAGGCAAGGCATAGTGAAAAGAGTACTCTCTGGTTTTTAAACATTTTATGCTTCTAAAGGCTTTGGGACCAAGGCATCTAATCATCGGACAGCTAGGCGACACAGCAGATGGTGTTGGACTTGGAGTAAGAAAGACCTGAGTTCAAATCTGACCCTGGACACTTAGGAGCAGTGTGCCCCTGGGCAAGTCACATGACCTCTTAGCTTCTCAGCCTCAATATCTCAGCAGCCAAAATGAACAGGTTGGATTCAGTGGTCTCACAACTGAGTGATCTGCTCCCTCCCCACATGTACAGCAGCCATCTCCAGTACCTGGAATCAATTCCATCCCCAGTCTCTCATCCCAGCTCAGCTAAGGCATCATTTCCCATGGGAAGTCTCCAGATGAAAACATTTTCTGGTGTCTCTCTTGCCTTCATCAGCCCAGCTCTGCCTTATACTTAGCTGTAGAACATAAGCCACCTAAAGTCTAGGACTAGGTCATTCTTCATACTTGGATCTCTAATGCCTTGCACACAGTAGCTACTCAATAAATGTTTGTTAAATCAATGAACTGTGATTGGCAGAGCAACCTTACCAGAAAACCCCTTGATCTGAATGCCTTCTACTTCCATGCTTCAAGCCACTCTGATTTCAGAGGCCTGGGCACTTCCTTGAGCAACAGATCAGCATTTGGTCTGAAGACAGCCCGATACAGACATGCCCACCTACAAAACCTCCACTTGAAAGGGCCCAAAAAGGACCAAGACCCCAAGTCCCCTTTCAACTGAACTTGCTAAACGGAACCAGGCAGAAGAGCTGTGCAGTATACTACAATTACTTCGACTTCTGTATCCACCAAGTCCCTATCAGATCTATGAATAATCAGCAAAACTGGACCAGTTTGAGCTTCTTCTCCTTTTATTTCCCAGGTTCACCTTCTGAGAAGCACTGTATCTGACCAAACTGTAGGCACCTACAGGGGACCAGAGGTACAGTGTCTATCCAATTCACAAACTGGATGATTAAACAATGGCAACGTAAATGCATAAAGGTCTTACATGAACACAGGCTTCTACCATTTTGTTTTATAAACTCATTAAAATTATCAGCAGACAAGCCATAGCTTTACTGCCTCTCGACAGCATGGTCTTGGCCATCTTTTGAAGAATTTGACAATTCAGCGTCCTACACGTGCATGCACATGCTTATGTTGCTCTTGGCAGCTTCTCCATCCAATATCAGGGAAGAACAACAGATTCACTAATCTAAAATAGGGCTTCTTAAATTTGCTCCCCTCACAACCCCTTTAGTGCTCTTTAAACTGTAAGTCACAGCCCCATACGTGCTGATAAAAAACCTGGAACTAAACATTTGAGAAAACCAACCCGCCCCGAAGACCTCCAGCCATTCTGATCTCCTTGGTCAATACTACGTACACTTGGCTGCCATCAATTCTTTAAAAATAGAGAGAGCAAGCAAAGCCAGGATTTCAATACAATGACGGTTAACGGTGCATGCTGCAGTTTTATGAGGCCGGCATCCAGGAGACGTTTTCAAAGCAAATGGGGACCAAGTGTCTCCCATCCACCTGCCATCTTTATTTCCTGTCCAGCAAGAGGAAGGTGCTGGGCGTCAACAAACTTGGAGAACGCTCTCCCAGTGCACGGTGAGATTTTGTTACCACGCCCAGACCCTCACATCTCATCGAAACCTCTCCACTGAGAAGGCCGAAGCAAACCTCAAAGGCTCCACCCCTGAAACATGCTTATGTCAACTCTCCCTCTGTGATCAAGCAAGTAGGCCAAATGGGCTGGAGATGAGGACGACGCCAACGCTGAGGACACATACAAGTGAAACGATTAACCTGACAAAATCAGAATTTCATAAAGAAAGCAGAGCTGCAGAAGGTGGAGGAGGAGGTGGGGAAAAGGGGTGGTGGCAGCAGTGGGGGCAGAGAAAAATGGCCTCAGCTGAATTTTCCATTAGCTACAATTTTATTTCTGATGGAGACATGTTTGGAATTCTGGACAATATAAGTAAGTTTGACTGTTCAAAAATCAATAATGTCAAGCTGACACCATAGAACACACAAAAAATGTGCCTTTAATGGGGAAAAAAAAAGAATTTTAGAGGAAAGGAAAAATGCTCGTGTGCACCTTTTCTGCACGCAGGCCCACTACAGGCTATCTGAAAATCTTCCACTGGAGAGAAAGGTAAAACTGCCAACAAACAAATACACCTCATGTGATAATCAATTACCTAATGCAAAATG